CAGTAGCAATTTGAAAAAAAACTTTGATTGAGAGAAGGGAACAGGTTGCAAAGTCGAGAGAGGTAGGAGGCAAAAGAGAGTCTTTTCAACTTCTTAAAGATTTTGAAAGAATTGGGAAACCATATGATTAACCCACTAAAAATAGACTTAACAAAATTAACTCCTTCAACCCTTGTTTTAAGCAAAATTAATTGCTATAATTTCTCATGTTGGCAAATACCCAACCTGCCCCTCAAGTTTTCAAGTTTATTTCCAACAAGAGCCTTGGTAGAAGAATCAGTCAGCTGAAGCTTAATGATACCATGTTCCAGTTTAATTGACTTCTTCTCTACAAAGTCAATGTGCTTGGTCCTGCTATGCTGAATAGGGTTTATGGAAATATTGATTGTATTCAGATTGTCACAATACAATGTCACAACATCTTGTGAGACATTATAATCAGTGAGCATCTGTTTTGTCCAGATATTTTGAGAACAGTTACTACTAGCTGCAACCATTTCAGCACAGAGTTGGGAAGGCATTCTTTTGACATGAATCATAGTTCTGGTTGATTCTTGAATGATCTTATTTTTCTTTTTGTCAACTCCATTTTGATGGTGAGTTATAGGAGAAGAGACTTCACGACTCATTTCTTCTGGGAAACAGAATTTATTAGACTTGTTGTTTCCAAAATCCTTGTCATGATTACTTCTGGTTCTGACAACACATCCTTCTTCAAGTTTATTCACCACATCATAGACATGTTCCTTTTTACCAAGCCTTTCAATTTTAAGTTCACCACAAACCCTTCTTTTATCAATCTGTAGTCTTGGAGTCCTTCTGACTACTTCCATAGAGATAGCTCTTTTCATTCTTCTTAGATGAAGATGACCAAGCTTATGGTGCCACAGTTTCATCTCTTTTTCTTCTTTGGTAATTGGACACATAGTGGAGTTATTAGTGTTCTCAGGCTGCCACAAGTAACAGTTATCTTTGGATCTGATTCTTTTCATTACAACTTCTAGTTTTTCATTAATTACTAGACATTCAGATTTTGAGAAGTTGACCTTGAATCCTAGATCACACAATTGACTGATACTAATGAGATTAGCAGTCAGCCCTTTTACCAGCAGTACTTCACTCAGACTTGGAACTTCAGGGCAGTCCAAATTACCAACTCCTTTGATTTCACCTTTAGCACCATCTCCAAAGGTCACATAACTAGTGTTGTGAGGTTTAACATGATTGAGAATGTTCTTTATTCCAGTCATGTGTTTAGAACACCCACTGTCAAAGTACCAGCCTTCCTTTGCAGACACTCTCAGGGAAGTGTGGGCTATCAGGGCAGTAGCCTTTTTCTTCCATTGAGGAGTATGTGGTACCCTTTTTGACTTAGGTTTAACACCTGAGTTTTGATTAGGGTATCCATGCAATTTGAAGCAGAAGGGCTTTATGTGTCCATACCTTCCACAATGATGACATCTCCATCTTTGGTACTTTTTCTTCATATATTTCTGTTTCTGATGTTGAGCGTTGTGTTGAGACATCTGCTTTGACATTTGTTTAACAGGACTGATCTTCTTGTCTGTACTAGATTTCTTGGCTTCCACAAATCCTAGTCCAGATTTGTTTCCCACATTTTGTCCAACTTGAAGAATCTCTTCCAATTTGTCTGTTCCATTAGTCAGCATCTTGACAGATTTGGTCATTTGGATCAGTTGTGAGTTCAGCAACTGAACTTCCCCTTCTAGATGACTTATAGTTTCAAGGTTTGCCCTTTTTTCAGCCTACAGCTTTATGATGAGTTTTGATTGTTTCTCATTCTGCACAAAGACTTCAGTACTTCTGATACACAATTTCTTGTAAGTATCAGCCAGTTCTTCAAATGTCACTTCTTCATCACTAGTGTCACTTTCAGAGGTACAGACGCCAGTTAGAGCAGTAACTAGTTTGGCAGATTCTTCTTCAGAATTACTTTCTGAATCACAGTCAGACCAAGTAACAGTCATTCCTTTCTTTTGTTTCTTAAGAAAGGTAGGACATTCAGCTCGAATATGCCCATATCCTTCACAACCATGGCATTGAATTCCTCTGCCTTGATTTCCCTTCTCTTCTGACCTTGGTCTTCTGCTGGAACTGTCAATGTCAGAGGGAATGTTATGAACATTAGACCTTGACTTTGGATCTATTCTTTTGATGAGTTTGTTGAACTGTCTTCCAAGCATGGCTATAGCTTCTGAAATATTTTCTTCTTCATCCTCCTTGTTTTCAACATCAGTGTTGGATACAAGTTCTATGCTCTTGTTCTTCTTGTCACCATTATCAGTGATCCCCATCTCAAAAGTCTGAAGAGACCCAATAAGTTCATCCACTTTCAACTTGCTGATGTCCTGGGCTTCCTCTATGGCAGTTACCTTCATTGCAAATCTTTTAGGCAAGGATCTGAGAATCTTTCTCACCAATTTTTCTTCTGACATCTTTTCTCCCAGTGCTCCTGAGGTGTTGGCAATCTCCAAGATGTTCATGTGAAACTCATGAATGGTTTCATCTTCCATCATTTTTAGATTCTCAAACTTGGTAGTCAACATCTGAAGCCTTGACATTTTTAATTTGGAAGTGCCCTCATGAGTAGTTTTGAGAGTGTCCCAAACTTCCTTGGCCAGTTCATATTGATGTACTAGTCTGAAAATGTTTCTATCAATTCCATTGAACAAGGCATTTAAAGCTTTGGAATTTCCCAGGGCTAACTCATCTTCTTCTTTACTCCAATCTTCCTCAGGCTTCAGACTGATTGTCCCATCTTTCTCAGTTATGGTGGGATGGATCCATCCTTTGTCAGCAGCTCTCCAAGCCTTTTTGTCCAGAGATTTTAAGAAGGCAATCATACGAGGTTTCCAGTAGTCATAATTTGTTCCATCCAGAATGGGTGGTCTATTTCCAAAAACTCCTTCTTTGTCCATAGTGCCAGAAAGTGATATCCCTAGATCTCACCCAGTAATACAGGCAGGGTGCCTGCTCTGATGCCAATTGAAATTCTGGCTGCAGATACTCAATGTCACGTTCAATGTTATGACACCGTATCTGACTTTCTATAAGACAGTAAATACAAAAACAGTAAAGAACACAGTCAATTGTTTACCCAGTTCAGTGTGCAACAACACCTACTCTGGGGGCTACCAAGCCAGGGAGGAAATCCACTATAAGAGATATTAATTCAGGAATAAACCAACCAGTTTATCTCTTTCACTTAAGACCTACCCAATGCAACTTCAATCTAAGTACAACTTAAACCTGAGTTCCTACTCACTCCCCCTCAATCACAGCAGTGATACATAAAACAATTTGACTAATGAATTGTTGAAGACACTCTTCAAAACATACACTTGATTATGCTTCACAGCTTTTTAATCAAGCAACACAAACACTCTTGCTTCACAGCTTTGAGTGATACACAAACCTAACTTGACTTTGCTTCACAGCTTTAGTCAAGAGACATACAAACACTCTTGCTTCAAAGCTTTGAGTGTTACACAACCCTTACAATTAAAACCTATTCCAAGTCACTTATCACAATGATAATTGCTTGGATTACAATAGTTAAAACTATACAGCTTCTAAATGATCTTCTGTCAAAAAGGGATTCATTCTAAGACAGCAGCTCTGTTGAATATATAGCAGCTGCATCTTCAGTTAGGGTTTCCACAAAAAGCTAGGGTTAATTCCATTTGACCTTAAGACTAGGTCACAGGACTTTATCAACCAGGTTAGGGTTGAGCTAGGTTAACCCAAAGAAAACGCAGGATTCTGTTCTGGAAAGACTGAGTCATTTTCCTGAAAAAACTCAGAATTAACCAAACTGCATACCTGTTAGTTCAGAACAGGATGTCTTAACATTTGTTATGACATCTGAATTCCTGTTTACTGATTTTGGTAAATGTGATCATTTTGCAAAATGCTCAGATACACACTCATAAACATCAGTACCTGTATGACAATATTTTTCTGCAAAGGTACCTAATAAATCTGTACCTAATAAACTAGAATGTTATGACATCAGTCATGACATTCATACACCTGGTTTTACCAAAAATGTATGCCAATACCTAAACAACTACATAGGGTAAATAAACCCTCATAAGATATCAATCATAAACTTAAAGACTCAAGAAATGTAAATAATATAACATACTCAAGTGTCATGATATAGTGGAAAGTATAGTCCATTTGATGCATAAAATCAATATGATCTAAATAAATAAAATTTAATATTCTTAAATGTTATGGGAAGTATCCAACATCAAGACGCATTCACTGGATATGTCACAAAAGCTCATAAGGAAATCATTAGACAATGATGCTCAAAACACAAGTAGAAAAGAGAATGTAGCTTCTTATGTATTACCATGTTGGTTAGAAAGTGAGTGGCTAACCATGGATCAATGGAGCATGATAAATGAGATGAGGATACTGGTTAATATCAATAATTAAACATAAAGATATTGGACATTGGTCTTTAAAATATTCAAAACATCATCACAAATAAACTAGGTCAAAACTAGAGAATGTGGCTCCTAACTTGTCATCATGATGTATTGGCAATGAAATGTCAATCAAAGAATCAAAGGATAATTTATTTATAGGTCATAAGACATTAGGTCATAATTATAAGTAAATGAACGTCAACCTTTTTGGATCAAAGGCACTCAATTGGAAATGCACAAGCACATTCTCCTAAACCATGATCACAAAATATAAGTAAATGACCTCTAAATAAAGGTAAGATATTATAGAACTAGAATGATTCATAGATATGAACTCAATGCTCTAAAATGATAATGAGAATAAGATAAATAAGAAGGAACTTGGTTCCTTATAGGTTGCACAAGTGCATACCTTATATCTCAAGCAACAAGAAGTAAGCAAAAGTTCAACATGAAAAGTATGGAGAAAGATTGATCTAATGAGGTCAATTAATTATCAAACCTCAAAGTGGTTATCCTTTAACTTATAATTCTCCAATCATGGATCAATACACAAAGGAACTCAACAATGTGACTCCAAATGTTAACCAAAACACCAATGATCACATACAATATTTTAAATCAAAGGAAAATAAGAAAAGGATCAATACACTCAAACAGAAATATTTCAAGCATCTTAAGACCATAAAAAGTAAGAATCAAGTGAAGATGAAGAAAAATAGAAAATGGAATTAAAAGAAGGACACTAGCTCCACAAGGTATCCAAATAAACACACTTAACAAACAATTTTCAAATAAAAGCAAATTGATCAAGAAAAATGGAAAAAAATTATCCAAGCATCACAAGACATCCTTGAGTATCAACATTATTTTTTCATAATTTTTTATCAATGAAAAGTTGAAAAAAAAATTCAAATAGCAAGACTAGTTATAAGCAAAGCCAAACTAGACACATTTCACCATAAAATAGATAAAAAATACCAAAACGTAAAATAAAAATGTTAAAAAATTATCATGATATTCACATTATACCTAATTATGTCAAACATATTTTTTCATATTTTTTATGTCACTGTAATACTTAATATAAAATCAAAACTTAGAAAATAGCCATGAAAGGCATTCAATCGAGCACCCTTAACAAGAAATTTTCAAACAATAGCAAAATCAACATGGAAAATTATTGAAAAATCATTTTTAGTGTCTTAAAACATCAAAAAAAATCCAAAAATTAACTTGTAATTTTAAGATCAAGTAAAGATAGAAAATGAAGGTGAAACTTCTAACCTAAGCAAGAAAAAGACCAAAATATATATTCAACTTCAACATTTTTTAAAATAAAATAAAAATATAAAATAAAAATGTTTTAAAAAAATAATAATTATCTCTGGACATCAAGAGACATGAAAAATATTTTTGTATATATTTTAGGTTAAGGACTCTATTAAAGTAAAATCAAAATTTAATCTAAATCAAAAGTTTAAAGAAAATGATACATTCAAATAATTGATTTAATTAGTGCACCAAGAAAATTCTAAAAATAAAATGAAAATAATTTTCATAATAAATGCTTAAAAAGAGACTTTAAATATTTTTTTCATAATATTTGGATAAAGAAAAGTATTAAAATAAAAATGGAGAAATTAATTGGAATAAAAAGGAAATTCAAAAGATGAACAGATGTAAATTTAAGCTTGCATTCATTTGTGATTTGATCATAAAAATCATATTTAATCTATATTAGCAAAATTATATTATTCTCCTAAGTGTGGGGTTTGCAAACCAATCTTTTGTTTTGAAGCAAGACAATGTAATGAATTTCACTAGAAATACAATGAACAATACAGTGTGTGGATCGCGATAAAAAGATTCTGAAACTAGTCATGAACGGAGTCACTCTTGCTAGAGAATTAGCAATCTAGTTTGCATGTTTTCTACCAAACCTCACACTGAGGTTTTGAGTAGATAAAAGAAGAGACCTACATTCCGAGATATGGAAAAAATGAAAAATAAAATTTTCTTTTAAAAGATTGGACTGGTTTCTCAAGTCTGTTTATGAAAATAATCCAATCTGTAATTAGATTAAATTCATAAAATTACTGTACTAGTTATAGTTATACTTGATAAGATGTCAATAGTTGTAAAAAAAAAGATATGCCATTAAGAAAATCACTAAAATCAAACAAGAAACTAGGATAATTTGCAATTTAGAAATACTTGTGACACTGTTGATTATCTTTCATTAGTTTGATATTTTAAATTAGCTTCTTTGAAATATCGTTGAATATCCTTACTGCATGATATATCACTAAATATCCTTAGGGTGAGATTAGATTAATTTTCTAGTTCCATTATAATTCAATCTAGGAACATCCTTACTGCATGATATATAACTGAATATTTATATTTGCTGCTTCGTTAATTTAGAAAGGTATTTACTATTTTAGCAAAACTGCTTTTTGGCAACGTTCTCAAGGAAGGAACTCCAATTTCTGTGAACCCTCTTGTGATTTGGGCTTGGGCAGGACTCCTTATCAATGCCATCAACAGTATTCCTGCTGGAGAGCTTGATGGAGGGAGAATTTCTTTTGCCTTATGGGGAAGAAAGGTATCACAATACATTTTACAAGTTAGCATTATATTAACCGTGTTCTTTATGACAATTTTTGTTTTGTTCTGCCATCTTACAAATTGAAGAGGCAATTGCAATTCAAGGAAATAATTCCTTTGGGATTAGCATTGTACTGTCTTGGTAGAAAATTATGAAGTCAATGAAAACTTGCCCAGGCTTCATAATTTTTCTGGCTCCGCCACTGAATACAGTATTTAGTATACTTTCTTTGATTGGTTTTCCTATTATGAGTTTAAAATCTGGCAGTGTAAATAAATACAACACATGCATGCTTCAATCTTTCCTTCCATCTCCTTCTTTGTTTTGACTTTGATAAATATGTATTTTATATTGTCTCAAGTTAGAATTTGAGTTTGAAACAATAAAAAAGAATAGAAGTTATATCTAGCTATCAATTAATAAATTTTATAATTTCTTTTATTGGAACTCTATCTATGGTCACGGTTTTAGGACCGTACATGTATTAACTTCAATCATTTCCTTCCATACCTGGCTAGCTCCATTAATTTGGAAAAAAAAAACAAATGAGTGTTGCAATCAACACTCATTTTTTTTCCATATATGTCTGAAAATTACATTAATGCAATGAAGAAAAACCAACCATAGTGCTTACTGAAATTTTTTTCTTTAAATTTGGTGTATCTTCTTTCAGCTTACTATGCAAGGGAAACAACATATTGAATCTTCTAGCAAAGTAAACAATATCAAGCATCGTGACGAAACACTGCCTGATGTTCGAGTACGGAAACTAAAGGATCAGCTCATCCAAGCTAAAGTTTATCTTTCCCTTCAGGCAGTTACGAACATTCGCCATCTCACTCGGGAACTTCGGCTACGGGTAAAGGAAGTTTCACGAACAATTAGAGAGGCAAGCAAAGATTCTGACTTGCCAAGGAAGTAAGTGAGTTTTTAAGAATGTATTTTTTGTACTTGTCACCAGGTTTTCCTATTTTTATATAGCTATTACGTTAGTTATTTCATATTTAGCTTTATTGGGAAGTAGCATACAAATATGTTGAATAGTTCAGGTCTTCATGATCTACATTTTATTCAGTTTGAACTTATATTTGTAATTCTACTAATGCAGTGCAAATGAGAGAATGAAGGCAATAGAGCAATCATTGATGAAAGCAAGGAAAATTCAAGATGATTGTGCCACATCCGTGAAGAAGCTTAGGGCTATGCTCCACTCATCAGAGGACCAGCTTCGCGTGCACAAGAAAAAGACCATATTCTTAATACAGTTGACAGCTAAAACACTGCCTAAAGGTCTCCATTGTCTTCCGTTGCGCCTTACAACTGAATACTATAACTTGAACTCTTCTCAGCAACAATTCCCCAATCAAGAGAAGTTAGAAGACCCTGGACTATACCATTATGCAATATTCTCAGATAACATATTGGCCACAACTGTTGTTGTGAATTCTACTGCTGCCCATGCTAAGGTAAGTTATTTTCACGTGGAGATTTCCTGAGTTGTTTTTATTCGCCAGGATTATGAAACTGAACACCAAATAAAATAATCTGTTATAGTATCTCTCTGCAGTTAAATTACTATTCTCTCAATGTTTTAACAAACTAATATGTTTTCATTTTATTTGTGCCTAGAGGTAGTGATGGATAAAAAATGAAAACAAAAACCTTATTTGTTACAATATAATGGTGGTATTTTTCTTTCTGATCAGCATAATAATAATGTAGTTTTAATAAATTTTCAGGATTCCTCCAAACATGTTTTCCACATTGTAACTGATAGGCTCAATTATGCGGCAATGAGGATGTGGTTTTTGGCCAATCCACCTGGAAAGGCGGCAGTTCGAGTTACAGTCCAGTTCTTAAGCAGCTAGATGATGAATTTCAAGAGGAGGATATAGATGGTGAATTTCAAGAGGACGACGTAGATGAAGAATTTATGGAGGATGACATATCTAACGAATTTCAAGAGGACGATCTGGATGCTTTACTCCTAGAAGACAAACTTGAATGAGTTGGATGATGTCTTTTTTTTTGGCTTGTAGTTGAAAGCATTAAACTTGAAATATGATTTTTGTTCTTTTGCTGAACTATGTTTTTAGTTATTTTACTAGGGTCATACTTCAAAGTATTTAAAGTAATATTGTTACGTTAGGCATTTTGTGTACTCTATATACTATATCTTGAATTAAAGTTTGAACTCGATTTTATTATATTACAACTTTTATGGATGTATGGTTTAAGTTATATAATCAATATTATTTTTGAAGCCAATTATTATTGACTATATTATTTTGATAATAATTGCAAAATTGTATATTTTATATGGACACTATAAAACAACAACCTATAAGCTATGACTACACTTCAAAAACGACCTTCCTGATTCAGGTTTAAGGCAACGATTGTTAATTGTAGCCGAATTTGGCAACGCAACGCTTAAAAAATGTTGTCTCAGAGGTCGTAAATAATCTTCCCCTATTCCTTTACTATAGGCGACGTTTTTCGAAAGCGTTCCCAAAAAACATAAAAAAACGTTGCCTCAAACAATAGGCAACGCTCGCACAGGAGACGCCTAGAAAACGTCCCCTATTGTTTTAGGCAACGATTTTCAGAGTTCTGGCAACGTTTTTCAATTGTTGCTGGAGAGCCTAAATGTTATAGTGTCAATTAGAACATAAAACAAAATCAGCACAATATATATTATACAATTCTGATAAAACACTAGCATCTCAAATGAAGTACATAATGTATATAACTCTTCTAAATTTTCCATATATTTCTTCCTTTTTTCCTTCCCCTCTTATAACATCCTCCTTTGTTCTTCTAACTACTTCTCAACATTCTCAATATTTTCTCTTTGTGCTTTAAATTGTGCACTTTCAGTGCTTTTTCTTGTCAACACCTTCTCCAACACCACGGATACGCTGTCATACCCCAAATTTGCCCTATGAATTTTTAGTTAGGTTATTTCTTATTAACGTTATTATTTTTTATTATTTTCATACCACTGTGGGGTATAAGGGGGGTGTTTTAGCAAAAGAGTTTATGGGCTTTCTAAATCAAAAAGGCCCATGTAAGTTTGATGTTTTATGGGGTTTTTCCTTACAAGATATAAGAGGGAGGTATTGTTACAATAAGGGTGTATTATCTTAAATGGACCATCAAAATCTGATGGCCCATTAAGACAATTTGCTTGTCTGGTTCAAAGAAAAAAGGGGTGATGTTTTGGTCCATCAAAATTTGATGGCCCATGAAAGGGATGTTACATTTTAACAAAGAAAGGGGGGTGCGTTTTGAAGGGCCCAATAAATTGGACGATACTGGCCCATTTCATATTTTTTTGAGGACCTGCATTATTATTATTTTTTAAATAAAATATTAATTAGCAACATTATCAATACTTTTATTTATCTATTTATATTGTTAATACTTATTTTACTATTATTGTTGTTTATTTTTATTAAAATTATATTTTAGTTTTTTGTTTACCCAAGTCAACGCAAGGGATTAAGAAACCCTAATTGTCCCAACAACAGCCCTGTTCTTCAATTACCCAGGCCCAAAACGTGTTTTGTTCAGATCTGAAAAGAAAAACGCTTTTTGAAACTAAAACAAAACAAAATCTTCATTGGATCAAATCAAATCTGGAAAATTAATATTTATGTTATTCACCTAAACGAACCTATACAATAACAAATACAAATACATATTACAAAGAACTAATCTCAAACAAAATCTTTCTAAATCAATCACAAAATCTTCCTAATCCCTAATACAATTACAAATGTAACGATAAATCATAAGTATTTCCTAATTTGTCTAAAATCTAAACCTATAAATTAACTTTAAAAATTCTAAGAAATAGAGGAAAAAATTAGAAGAACGTAGTTGATTGCAAGGAGAAAGAAAGAAGTTTTAGGGCTTCAATATCTAAAACCCTAAAAGTTTCCACCACACCGCCGCTACAGTGCCATCACCTTAATACCTACAAACAAAAGAAGAAGAAGAAGTGAAGATCAGAAGGAGATTCAGGAAATCAAACATACGACCAGTATCACGGCAGGAGAGGTAAACACAAAACGCCTAGCTTTAGGGCTCTTAATTGTTGTTTTGATTTTCGCATGATTGATGTTTGCATGTGCTGGAAGATTGGGTTTTTTTAGGGTTAGGGTTCTAAGCTAAGGTTAGGGTTCTTAGATCCTAGGGTTAGGGTTCTTAGGGTTGTTTGAAGTTTAGGATTAAGGTTCTTCAGTTTTTGGGTGTTCTGGGTTTTGGGACAGTTAGGGTTCATTACGAACCCTTAGGGTTCGTAGGATTCCATGAACCCAAATGAAGATTCACGACAGAGGGTTTGAAGATTTGAATTTTTCGGTTGAATATCAATCAGAAAATTGGGAAAAAGGGGTGGTTGGTGGTGGCAGAAGGTGGACGACACGACCAAGGTGATTTCCACCCGCCTGAGTTATAGAGAGAGGTCAGAGCCTCTCTCTCTAGGTTTTTGTTTAGTGAAGAGAGGGAGTTGCAGAGAGAGGGAGAGGAGGAAAGGAAATAATGAGGAAAATAACAAAAGATGGAATATATAACCCCTCCCTAATTCTGTGACCGCGTGTCTAGAAACCTTACCATACGTTCCCTGCCACAACCTTCAGATCATCATCAAACGCTCTTAATTTTCATGCCCATGATAACACTATGATCCCTTCCACACTCTTCCTAAACGGACCCCATGTTGTTTTGGGCCTAAGCCCATGATAATCACACCCCCAACTTTTTTGTTTTTGTAAAGCCAACTTAATTCTCACCCCCTAACGCTCTTGGGCCAAATCTAACATCTGGACTTGGGCCCCTGCTAACTAAACCCCTTATTTTACTAACTCATGCAATAACTCACGCCCTCTGTGTTTGGGCCTGAATTCAATATCTGAATTCAGGGCCATACTTCCCATACCCCCAGTTTTACTAGCTCAATGCAAAATACACCCCCTGCATTTTTTTAATTTATTTTATTATTTATAATTATTATTTTTATAATTTAATATATTTATAAATTCTAATATTATGTTACTATTATTATAAAATTAAATATTTATTTTCTAACTCATCAAAATATATATTTATTGCATTAAAATTATTTTTAACCATACATTAATAATATTTTTTTATATATTAATACATTTAAAAATACTTAACCAACACCAAATTATTTTCTTAAATAACTTAATTAACTCTAAAACAACTTTCAAAAAGGATTGTGAAAATATTTTAATCGACTTTGAACTTTGTCTAACAACTCCGGTATTCACACATCTAGAGTTAGTGCAAGGGAAATTCAAAACATCTTCGTAATCCATAAAAAACACCAACCAACTACGAACTACGAATTGGGACTCTGATACCTCATAAGAGGATACGTAGGAATACGACTAAAATTGTGGCGAGTTACCCTAATAAAAATTAAAACCCTATTTCCTAAGCCGTAACTCTAAACCCTAGTATCCTTGTGAACAAGGTAGATGAGTGATGCCTAACACCTTCCATTCGTCTAAGAACGAGTCCAAAAATTTAGAATATCTGACTAAATTAGGGTTATCCTTTATATTCCCTTCTCAAAGATAAAAATTAAGGGTCGTGACTCTCATTTTAAAAGTGGTTACAACACACGCCTACTATGCTCATCTATTCCGAGAGCTTCTACTAGTATATCATGTCATGGTTCTGAAACAAATGTGCCTTCACGGGCCGCCTTAACCAACTTATCCTACATAAATTGAGCAACTCACATATATTATTATAAAAGAATTTAAATAACAAACAACATAATCAAAACAAATCATAATTACAATTTTCTCAGTAACTACTCTTGACGTATCTGAGGTGTATTCCCCATTTGGTCTTAGTCGAGCCCTCTTCCACTTCTCATGTCTTAACGAAGGAGATGGGATGCGATCATCTCCCGTTCCTTGTCTTTCTTTAAGCATGATTGTCTTCTCAAGTTTCCTATAACCCCCACGAGACAATCTATGGGGAAACATGCTTTTTTTCCTTGCTTTGTTGTCCTATTTTACTTTTAGCCTGTTATTCACCTATTGAAAAAATATATATGATTAGTATCTATAACTCATTAGCATAAAATTATCAGATAAATATGACTCTTACTAATCTTGAATTCCTCATAAAGAAGGACTTTAACAAACTTTCTCCAGTGCTTTTTCGATATATAACTATATCTTATCCATGGAGGAGCAAGATTTAGCTTAGGCTTCCTAATGTAATCTCGCGTGAGCCATGACTTAAATCCCCTTCAACAAGTACCGACATAGGTGATCCATTTTTTTTCAACTTTGAGTCATCGGTAAACTCAAATTTTGACTACATTTAAATTAATAAGTAAATATTGAAAGCTACCTAGAAAGTGAAATTAAATAGATAAAAATTAAAACTATTACCGTAGCGTTTGTCCATATGCTTTCTTTGATAGCACTTGGCAATTATTTCCAATCAACTATCAATATGCTGACTTTGCTCCGAACAAGTAACACAATATAACTCTTAAAAGTATATTTATGTTCACAATCAACTAATTTATAGAACGAATCAAACACGATTGGATTTTGTCACCTGAGTTATGGACTTTTGTAAATTCGGCCATCATTGTGACACCTCTCTGTGATCTTTTTGTTTGAGTTTCTGTTGTACAAGTGTCATTTGTACAAGAATCATTTGTATGATTAATTTCTTCGCTAGTAGATGGATAATTCGATAATGTCGACATTTATGTTCACAAACAACAACAACAACATTAACAAAAAAAACAAAAACAACATGAATAACAACAACAACACAAACAACAACAAGCTCTTTTATCAAGAAG